ATCTCAACACTGTTCTAGTGGAACGGGGAAAAGGTCACAAAGGGAAAACAAGGAGTGAATCAGAATCTGACACCGGGACAGATCAGATCAGATTATGTCATGAACTTGGGGTAAATAGCTAGGTAACTATGTTTAAAGGAAGGGCTCAAAACAAACCATAGTATAAACTCTAACCTTTTTAATCACCCACCAATAGCTTCTAGTAATCATAGTTTCTGCGCCGATAAGTTGAGGAATGGCTGGATAACCTGATGACAAAACCCATCATAAGGATCAACATCCAAGACTTGTTAGGCAAATAAAAACCAAAATTTCTGCAGTACTCTACATTATAAATTAAAACTCGGCAGTAGGTGGTGGTTCAAATACATCGGGGAGAAATTATCTCACCCAGAACTGCCACTGCGTCCAGATGCATAGCCTCCATACACTCCATATGGAGTACTACTACTACCACCAACCTACAAAAGCATGTTCGAAGAATCATTCACTGAGAATTGATACGTCAAGAACAAGAAGTTATTGATCCTTTTAAATGACATACCGGAGCACCATAAGGCGAATAACCTTCAGCAGACAAACCACTCGAGCCATAACCACCAGGATAAGGATTTCCACGTTCAAGTCTTCTGCTATCTCTACTATCATAGTCCAATCTATCAGCAGCCTCTGGTGCAACAGGAACATAAGGCAAGACCGGCATAATTGCAGAAACAGCACCTTCCCGGTCAAAAACGTTGGCTCTTAGTCTTGATGTAATTTGTATGAGAGCTTCCTTGGCAACATCAAGTTCTCCAGAAATCTGAACATCAAAATTGCTTCCACTGTTAGCGGGCTTTAAGAGCACTAAGACACTGGCAATTAAGGCAGTAGCACTATGACACTGTGAACTTTACCTGAACCATCTCATCATCATCAGATGCAACTTTTGGAAGATTTTCCTTCCCGAGTACGCGTATGTTAGCTTTGGTCATTCTTCTCATCTCAGTTATGATAGCTCCTCCTTTACCGAGAAGACAACCAATCCTAGAACTAGGCACAAGAAGACGAGTGGTGAATGAAACAAGTCCAGAATCTCTTTCCACCTTGTCGCTACATTTTGGCTGCAGCCGCATAGCTGCTTCTATGGTTGGGGAATACGCATCCTCAAATACCTAAAACAAAATTAGACACTGTCAAGGAAGAAAAGCTGGATAAACTATTCTTACCTAAAAGACAGAAAACAATTGGCAGTCGAACCTCTCTTGCTGATATAGTTATTAAGCAATCGTTTCCTTCAGTTCTAGTGCTATCAACTTTAATGGTTGCTCTGGTTTCCTGCCGAAGCTGATTGATTAGAGCACCACCTTTCCCAATAACACTTGCAATGTTTTCAACTGGGGAAACTAGCCGAATATAGAACTCTGTTGCCGGTGGCTCATTTCTTGGAGCTTGGTATAAAGGGCGTGACCAATCTCCTGCATCATTTTTGTATCCTCCATAGGAACCCATCAGCGGCGCTATCCCCACAATTCGAGGACCACCTGCATGGCTCATGAGTGAACCAGAAGGATATCCACCACAAATTGCAGACGAAAGTAGGTTCTGAGAACGCGAAGGATTTTCATGAAGGCGGGAGGCAATCTGCAGGAGAGCCTTCTTAACAATGAGAACTTCTCCAGATATCTAGCAAAAAGGGATAAAAGATGTAATCAAGAATACTGCAACTTACACAACAGGAAAAAAAAGCATTGACAATAAACACGTAAAACCTAGAAACAAAGAAATCCTTCCCAGATACCTGAATAAGCTCATCTGAACTCAAGGCACACAGAGGCATATTTCTGTCCTTGATGATACGAATCTGAGCACCTGTTTCGCTCCGAATGTTCTGGACAATCTGGCCGCCTCTCCCAAGAATACATCCAATCTGATCCGAAGGAACAAGCAGCCTGGCAGTAACTTGTTGCTCTCCTTCAGAGCTATCTTCGCTTTGCGGATCATCCGCAACTACTCTATCATGAATCCTGAACAAAGCATCCTGTGCAGGAGAAAGAACTTTCTCTCCGTCTCCAAAGGCATTAGTCTCATCACTAGGGCTATAGATCGTAATAACACGTTCATCGCATCCCAGAATCGCCTCTCCTATTCTAATTTTCGATCTAGTGTCCGTTCTCAATTGCTTGACAATCTCCCCTCCTCTACCAATAACACTCCCAATCTTCTTCACCGGGCAAAGGTATCGAAACACAGTGTCATCACGATCAATTACAAGTGAATGTGAATGTGAATCTCTATCATCACCACCACGAGATCTCCTTTTGCTTCCACCGTTGTCATCGTAATCAGACTGAGGACGAGACCTCTTTCGATGACTATCTCTATGATCCGGTGACATTGCAGCAAAAACAAAGGGAGAAAGAATTCTGTACCTACCAATCATACATAAACCACACAATCAAAACTCCAATTCTATAGCTAAATGAGTTCTTTTAACTAAATCAAAGCAAAAAAAAATGTAGCATTTCACAACAATTCAAGCATGGATTTTTCCGCATAAGATCCAAGAAATATATTCAGATCAGAACTTGGAACTCTAAGCTCATCGACTATCGAGTAACCAAGATAAACAAATGGAAACCTTGAAGAGAATATAGGAACGATTAGAGATTCCGATTACGATTCCGGCGAGGTATGGATTATAGAGAGATAAAAGTAAGAACCTTGATTCCTCTGACGAAATCGTTTCTTCCTCAGATTTGGGGTTATCAATAGCTCTAGGGTTTGCGCGGAGTTTGATTAATTGATTTCTTTGTTCCCAGTTTTTCGGTACATGTATTTTTCGATTTTACTAATCAGCCACAAGGCTTTTTAACTATTGTCATAACCTTCCCCCATATTATATCTCTCTTATTTTATCGAGAAATTTTTAAAAATACCTTTTTTTTTTTTTGCTTCAAAGTGATCTTGTATTACTCTAAATTTTGTACAATGGAGTAAGTATTGTTTGGCCATTTAACAACATATTCTTGATTATGTTTTCTAGCATTTCTAGCAAGCCAATCAGCAAATGTATTTGCCATTCTTCCAATATGCTTGAACTGAAACCTCCTTCGCTTAGATANATGATTGATATCCNCAATGTAAACCGATAANAACCCATGCTGCNTCTNNTGATGTGGCAAATACTNATGATGCGTTTGTAATGGCTTGTATAGACACTGCAAATCCCCACAGAAAATTACATCATGATAACCAATCCTTGCTAGTGTTGAAACGGCCATTCTTAATGCTTCACCCTCAGCTTCCATTGCACTTGACAGGGGTTTTATAGNTCCCGAGCCCTGAATTAGGATTTTTTCTTGTTTATCCNCAAGCACCCACCCTATTCCAGCTGCATTATATTGGGAGACCCATGAGGCATCTACGAAACAACATAGATGGTCTACATGCTGAACCACCTGATGAACATCTTTCATGACAACAACAGAATTAGAGACATTATGAGTTGAACCTG